TTTTTTTTTTTTTTTTTTTTTGAGATGGAGTCTGGCTCTGTTGCTTAGGCTGGAGTGCAATGGTACCATCTCAGTTCACTGCAAGCCCCACATCCCAGGTTCAAGGGATTGTCCTGCCTTGCTGAGTAGCTAGGACTACAGGTGCACACCACCATGCCTGGCTAATTTTTTTGTACTTTAAATAGACACAGGGTTTCACCATGTTGGCCAGGCTGGTCTCAAACTACTAATAAGTGATCCACCTGCCCTGGCCCCCCAACATGCTGAGATTACAGACATGAGCTACTGCACCCAGCCGTGGAGAGATATATTTTCTATTTATTATTATTTTTATATGGAGTAGATAAATTTTCTAAGGCCAGAAAACCCACCTATGGATTATGTTCTACAAAAAGGACAGAAGAACCAAACTGATGACACCATATCACTAAAAAACTCAGTGATCAGGGCATGGTGGTGCATGCCTATAGTTCCAGCTGCTCAGGAGGCTGGGGCAGAAGGACTGTTTGAACCAGGGAGTTTGAGGCTGCAATGAGCTATAATGGTGCCGGTGCACTCCAGCCTGGATTACAGAGTGAGACCGTCTCAAAAAACCAAAAGCAAAACCCTCAGTGGTAGTTCTCTGCTGTCTAAGGCTAACAATGACTGTTAGAGAGCTGTATGGGCAGGGCCACCTCTGAGACTCCAGACCTGTAAAGTCACCAACACACAATACCTGCCTGAGAGAGCCCAGGCACCTCTCTTCAACTTCTGAAAGCTGCTGGGTTCGCAGAATGTGAATCCTATTCCTGGCCCATCATTGTGTTTTTGTTTAGGAAGTACAGTATGTATTTGATTTCACAGGCTCACAGCTGGAGAAGAATTTGCCTCAGGATGAATCATGCCTCTGATCTGTCTGCCTCAGCCTTCCAAAGTGCTGGGATTACAGGTGTGAGCAACTGCACCTGAAAAATGTATTTTGCATGTGAGAAGGACATAAATTTTGGGGGCCAAGGGCAGTAAGCTATGGTCTGAATGTGTCCTTAAAAATTTATCTGTTGAAAATTGCCAGTGTGACAATACTAAGAGGTAGGGCCTCCAGGAAATGATTAAATCATGAGTACAGAGCCATCATGGATGAGATTAAGGCCCTTAAAAAAAGGTTTGAGGGCCAGGCATGATGGCTCACACCTGTAATCCCAGCACTTTGGGAAGCCAAAGTAGGTGGATCACCTGAGGTCAGGAGTTCGAAACCAACCTGGCCAACATGGCAAAACCCTATCTCTACTAAAAATACAAAAATTAGCCAGGCGTGGTCATGGACACCTATAATCCCAGCTACTCTGGAGGCTAAGGTAGGAGAATCATTTGATCCCGGGAGGCAGAGTTTGCAGTGAGCTGAGTTTGCAACACTGCACTCCAGCCTGGGTGTCACAGCAAGACTCTGTCCCAAAAAACAAAGGGAGGGGGTTATGGACAGATGGGAATAGACCTCATTTGATTCAGTAATTTATATTTCTTTTCTTTTTTGAGATGGAGTCTTGCTCTGTCACCAGGCACCAGGCTGGAGTGCAGTGGCACAATCGGCTCACTGCAATTTCCACCTCGTGGGTTCAAGCAGTTCTGCCTCAGCCTCCCGAGTAGCTGGGACTACAGGTGCACGCCACCATGCCTAGCTAATTTTTTTGTATTTTTTAGTAGAGTCGGGGTTTCACCATGTTGGCCAGGATGGTCTCAATCTCTTGACCTCGACCTCGTGATCTGCCCGCCTCGGCCTCCCAAAGTGCTGGGATTTTTTTTTTTCTTTTTAATGGGGTTTCACCATATTGGTCAGGCTGGTCTCGAACTCCTGACCTCAGGTGATGCGCCCACCTCAGCCTCCCAAAGTGCTGGGATTACAGGTGTGTGCCACCACACCTGGCCAGTAACTTATATTTCTAAAAAGCTCCCAAGACTTAAAAATCACTGATGTATATCATCAAAAATATTGATCAAGCTTACAATACTATATATAACATAAGCATTATTTATCACAGAATGTAATGTAACTTTTTTGTGTTTTTTGAGACGGAGTCTCCTCTGTTGCCCAGGCTGGAATGCAGTGGCTCTATCTTGGCTCACTGCAAACTCTGCCTTCCAGGTTCAAGTGATTCTCCTGCCTCAGACTCCCAAGTAGCTGGGACTACAACTGCCTGCCACTATGCCCGGCTAATTATTGTATTTTTAGTAGAGACGGGGTTTCACCATGTTGGCCAGTCTGGTCTGGAACTCCTGACCTCAGGTGATCTGCCTGCCTTGGCCTCCCAAAGTGCTGGGATTACAGGTGTGAGCCATAGCGCCCTGCCTGTAATGAAACTTTGGGGGAAAGATATGACTCGCTTACATTTCAAATATTTCTGAATTTTTGAGCTCTCTCAAACTTAAAGCAAAGGCCCAGCAGTTCAATATCAGGAGTTAGGAACAGAAAACAGAAACAAATTGAAATCAAGCAATGCCAATCAGCAAGACACTATGACGTGGCCCTTATTAAGCCAGAGTAAACTTGTGAGCTTGCCGTTAACTCCCGTTTTAACATAATTATTCATTTTAGGAAGCTGCAAGATTTTTGTTTTTGTTTTTCTTTCTACCTTTGCAAGGGCTGTCAGATCAGAAGCTTGTATTATTTATTTGGTTTTAGATAAAATTTTGAACTATATTGAAATTATAAACTGGCTTTCTGGGAAAAAAAAAAAATGGTCCTAGACAATGTGCTAATGAGCAAAACAGACCCACCATCACAAAACTTCGTCCCCAAAACGAAACAACAGAAAACACGTGGGTCGATCCCAGGCGGGAGGAGGAATGGGCGGGGTGAGACGGAGGGGGCGGGGCCGACCCCACAGCGGAGAAGGGCGCAGCCCGGGCTCCTCCTCCGTGACGTCCCGGGAAGCACCGCCCCCAGATCCCTGGGACTCCGGTGATAGCCGCGGCTCGCTCGCGCCCCGGAAACTGCCCCTTCTCGGGGGTCATGATGGGCAGCAAGATGGCGTCTGCCAGTAGAGTCGTTCAGGTAAAGCGATATGTCGCGTTCCCGCACCTTGGGCGGTAGGGACGGTGCTGACTATAGCTACGGCGTCGAGGAGGAAAGGCGGTGGAAGAGGCTGCGCCGTGGCCGCAGCTCTGCAGAGGGCCAGCAGCGCCGCCCGCGGGTGTGTGGGAGAATGGGACTTTGAGCCCGTTGGGCCGGGTAGTGGGGTGGGTCCGGCGCCGAGGTTTCGAGCCTGGCGGCAGGCGTGCAATAACTTGGCAGGTAGGTCCTGTACCTACTGCTGGGGTCCCCGGCTCCTCCGCCAGGACCTTCTTAGTCTTAGGCGTCTGCGGTTGAGGCGGCCCTGGCGGTAGCCTGGCCAATCGCCATCTAGGATTGGCTGTGGTGCCCCCTCCTCCGCCCCGATCAGCCAATCGGAAGGAAGGCGGTAGCTAGGCGTAGAAGGAAGCGTACCCTAGATCTGACCCAGTCAGTGTCCCTTCAAGGTCTCTGGAATGATCGGACAACTGGCCCCGTGTGCCGCGTCCTCGCCGAGGCTGGTTCTCTTTCCAGGCTTCTTGCTACAGGGCAGATAAGGGGAATAGAAAAATGTTATCTAAGCTTAATTAGTGTGTGTTGGTTTCAGAAGCCTATTTTCCCTTGGTTTAGATAGACAACTCAAGGAATTTTGTTAATCCACTTATCAACTACTAACTTCTGTTAACCTTCTTGTTTCTCCAGCTGTGGTTTTAACTTAGGTAAAATTGTCATATAAGTGGAACACAACCTCCATTTTTGTGGTTGGTTTACATAGTCTTCGAACCTTGAAAGTGTATTATTTTAGAATTGACTTTTAGCTTTGATATGAGAAGTACATTTCGCTTTACATAAATGCATTTGTTAAAAGATCTTTTTCTAAATTACCGAAGTTGTTGTCTGAATGATAATCTAGATCCCAGTCTTTGGTCCCATTGCAATGAATGATCCTCACCTATTCAGTGGGTGGTTATTGAGCATTAAGTAGTTAAAAATTCTGTAAGGACTGAGAGGCTATCTGACAAAGGTCTGTTATCTATAATATATAACCATATGTATCAATAATATATAACAATTTAAAAATGGGTAAAAGGGCCGGGTGCGGTAGCTCATGCCTGTCATCCCAGCACTTTGGGAGGCCGAGGTGGGCGGATCACGAGGTCAGGAGATCGAGACCATCCTAGCTAACATGGTGAAACTCGGTCTCTACTAAAAATGCAGGAACTTAGCCGGGCGTGGTGGCACATGTCTGTAGTCCCAGCTACTCGGAAGGCTGAGGCAGGAGAATCGCTTGAACCCGGGAGTTGGAGGTTGCAGTGAGCTGAAATGACGTCACTGCACTCCAGCCTGGGTGACAGAAAGACTCCATTTCAAAAAAAAAAAAAAAAAAAAAATGGATAAAAGACTTGGTGTTGCGCAAAAGATACCCAAATGAGCAATGAACATTTTAAAAAGTGCTCAATATCATTACTTGCCAGGAAAATTAAAATTAAAAACACGAGGTCCTACACATCTAGCAAAATGACTAAAATTTAGACATCAGTGGTGATGAGAATGTGAAGCTCCTGAAACCCTCAATATTGCTGGTGGGAGTATAAAATGTTACAACCACTTTGGAAAACTGTCAGTCTCTAATAATCATGTATCTATCGTATGACCCAGCAATTCTACTCATGGGTTTATTGCCCAAGAGAAGTGAATGCAGGTACTGTCTCTGTACCTAAATGTTTCATAGGAAAAAAATAGTTACTAGCAGAGTTACTAGATGCCAGGAGTGTGGCATCTCAGCAGGTAGGTATTGTACATACTGCCCTGGGGCCCTTGCTAGCCCCCAAACCAGAAACAATCCATATGTCCATCTTTTGCATAAACAAATTCTGGTAGTTTTGTTAAAATGGTAGAGTCCAAAGCAATACTAACTCAAAGCTGATATATGCAAACAAATGAAGAAACTGCGAGATACTCAGTAAGGAATGGTCTGTACCCTTCTAACATAGGAACAAAGACCTGTACTCACATACGTAGAATTCAAACTAGGTTCCTGACCGCCCTCTAAAAAAAGAAGAAAGAATACAAACCAGTATGTGCTAATATTATGTAAAAATTACATAAAACATTAGCAAAATTTATTATCTCTGTGACAGGCCTATAAAAGCTAGGACTACAGTGCCAACAAGAGATAGAGTTTAGGCCAGGCTCACTGGCTTATGCCTGTAATCCCAACATTTTGGCAGGTTGAGGCAAGAGGATGGCTTGAGTCCATGTGTTCAAGACCAGCCTGGGTAACATAACGAGACTCCATCTCTATAAAAATTTTTAAAACTTAGTTGAGCATGATGATGTGCACCTGTGGCCGCAGCTACTCAGAGGCTGAGGTAGGAAGATCACTTGAGCCCCGGTGATCAAGGCTACAGTGAGCCGTCATCATGCATTATGCCATTGCATTCCAGCCTAGACAGTAGAGCTAGACCCTGACTTAAAAAAAAAAAAAAAAAAGAAAGAAAGAAAGATAGAGCTTAGAATTCAGCTGTTGATCTATATCTTTTTTTTTTTTTTTTTTTTTGGGACGGAGTTTCACTCTTGTTACCCAGGCTGGAGTGCAATGGCGCGATCTCGGCTCACCGCAACCTCCGCCTCCTGGGTTCAGGCAATTCTCCTGCCTCAGCCTCCTGAGTAGCTGGGATTACAGGCACGCGCCACCATGCCCAGCTAATTTTTTGTATTTTTAGTAGAGACGGGGTTTCACCGTGTTGACCAGGATGGTCTCGATCTCTTGACCTCGTGATCCACCCGCCTCAGCCTCCCAAAGTGCTGGGATTACAGGCTTGAGCCACCGCGCCCAGCCGATCTGTATCTTGAATAGTGCCAAAAGACTGATTGATACAAACTGATAGGAAGTCACAAAACATGGTCTCAGAACATTAAGTAAAGACAAAGCAGGCTGGGTGTGGTGGCTCACACCTGTAAGCCCAACACTTTGAGAAGCCAAGGTGGGAAGATTGCTTAAGCCAGGAGTTCAAGATCAGCCTGTGCAACATTCCAAGACCCCATCTCTATAAAAATTAACCATGCAGGAGGAGTGGTGGTGTGTGGTGTGTACCTGTAGTCCTAGCTACTCAGGAGGCTGAGGCAGAAAGATCACTTGAGCCTAGGAGTTTGACACTTCAGTGAACCATGATTACTCTACTGCACCCCAGCCTGTGTAACAGAGCAAAACCCGGTCTCAAAAAATAAATAATAAAACATATTTTCAAACTGGCTACCAAATGGAAATCCAGTGCTATGCTATCTATAAGAGGCATAGCTAAAACTAAGATTTGGAAAGGTAAAAATAAAGAGATAGTCAACTGATCTTTGACAAAAGGAGCAAAGGGAATACAATGGAGAAAAGACAGTCTTTTCAGCATGGTGCTAAAAAAAGTTGGATATCCATCTAGACAGACCTCACATCCTTCACAAAAATTAACTCAAAATGGATCACAGACCTAAATGCAAAATGCAAAACTATAAAATCCTTAGATGATAACATAGGAGAAAATAAAAATAACCTTAGGTTTAACAATGACTTTTTAGATATATAACACCAAAGGCATTATCCTTGAAAAATTAATTGATAAGCACGACTTCATTAAAATAAAAAACTTCTGCTCTGTGAGACACTGTCAAAAAAAGGCAAGCCAGGTATTTTGTAGAAAATACGGTATTTTGGAGAAAATACTTCCAAAAGATATATCTGATAAAAGACTTGCAGAAAACAGAAAAACTTGTAAATAAGAAAATAAATGACTGAATTTTAAAATCGGCAAAACAGCTGAACAGACAGCTCATCAAATAAGATACACACACTTTGGGAGGCTGAGGTGGGTGGATCACTTTATCCCAGGAGTTCAAGGACAGCCTGGGCAACATGGTGAAACCCTGTCTCTACAGAAAATACAAAAGTTAACTGAGTGTGGTGGTGCACAACTGTAGTTCCAACTACTTGGGAGGCTGAAGTGGGAGGATTGCTTTAAGTGGGAGGATCACTTGAGCCTGGGAGGTCAAGGTTGCAGTGAGCTGAGATCAAACCACTGCACCCCAGCCTGGGCAACAGAGCGTAACCCTGTCTCAAAAAGAAAAAAAAAAAAGATATACAAATGACAAATAGGTGTATGAAAAGATACTCAGCTGAGCATGGTGGCTCATGCCTGTAATCCCAACACTTTGGGAGGCCAAGGTAAGTGGATCACCTGAGGTCAGGAGTTCGAGACCAGCCTGGCCAATATGGTGAAACCTTGTCTACCGAAGTACAAAAACCAGCCAGGTGTGGTGGTATGCACCTGCAATCCCAGCTACTTGGGAGGCTGAGTCAAGAGAATCACTTGAATCTGGGAGGCAGAGGTTGTAGTGAGCCAAGATCACGCCATTGTACTCCAGCCTGGGCGACAGAGACTCCGTCTCAAAAAAAAAAAGATATATAAAATCACATGTTATTAGACAATTTCAAGTTAAGGCAGCCATTACACACCTATTAGAATGGCCAAAATCCAAAACATTTGACAATACATAATGCTGACAAAGATGTGAACTCTCATTACTATCCCATCTAACAGGAACTCTCATTCATTGCTGGTGGGAATGCATGCAAAATGGTACAGCCACTTTGGAAGGTAGTTTAGCAATTTCTTTCTCTTTTTTAGACACATGCCACCATGCCTGGCTAATTTTTGTATTTTTTGTAGAGTCAGGGTTTCACTGTGTTGCCCAGGCTGGTCTCGAACTCTTGGACTCAAGCGATCCACCTGCCCTGACCTGAAGTGCTGGGATTATAGGCATGGGCCATGGTGCTGGTCCCAGGTTGGCAATTTCATACAAAAGGAAACATAATCTTACAGTACGATCCAGCAATTACACTCCATAGTATCTACTCAAGTGAGTTGAAAACTTATGTCCACATAAAAGCGGCACACAAATGTTTATGGCAGCTTTATCTGTAATTACCAAAATTTAGAAGCAAACAAGATATC